ATAGTTTTGATCAATTTAGAACATTTTTCTTTTTTTTGAGATAGGGTGTTACCCTGTCACCCAGGCTGGAGTGCAGTGACTCCATCTTGTCTCACCACAACCTCTGCCTCCTGGGTTCAAGCGATTCTTGTGCCTCATCCTCCCATGTAGCTCAAAGTATAGATGTGTGCCGCCATACCTGGCTAATTTTTGTATTTTTAGTAAAAATGGGGTTTTGCTGTGTTGGCCAGGCTGGTCTCGAACTCCTGGCCTCAAGTGATCCCAAAGTGCTGGGATTACAGGCATCAGCCACCGCACATGGCCTGATGTAGAACATTTTTCGTCATTGTTTCCTCAGATTGTTTTTCTGTTGCTCTCTCTTCTGGGGATTCTATGTATGTATATATGTATGTATGTATATATATGTGTATAAATGCTACATGAAGTTCCATAACTCACTGATAATCCGTTGATATTTTTTAGTAGCCCTTTTTCTTGGTGTTTCATTTGGGTAATTGCTGCTGCTCTGTCTTCATGTTAACCTTTTCTTCTGCAGTGTCTAATCGGCTCTCATTCCACGTAGTATATTTTTCATTTTAGATGTTGAGGTTTTCATCTCTAAAAGTTCCATGTGGGTCTTTTTCTTAATTAAGTATCTTCCATGTGTCTGCTTCACTTCAGTCCACTACCTTCTTCAACATATGAAATAACTAAGTGACAGTAGTTACTGTAACTCTTTTAATTGCTTTCTGTGTCATTACTGGGGCTATTTCTATTGATTGATTTTTTCTTTCGAATATAGCTTTATGATATGATAGCTCTGAAGCAGTGATCAGTCCAGGACAAATTATTCCTTACAGCCGAGGCAAGATGGTCTTGAGTTCCTCTGGTTTTCCAGACTGGCCTATGGGGACAGCTCTGTTCCCTGCCCTGTGTGACTGCCAAGCATGGGTGCCTCTGATCATGTCTGCGGGTTCTGTTCCGGCAATGGGTGGTTCCTGCACACACTTACTCGTTAGTTCCCTGTGGAATACTCGAGGGCCCTGTGCCGGTCTACAGGACTCATTGTGTCCCTCTCCTCTCCCAACACAGTCCTAGGAAGTCTAGCTGTCGTGATCTCCCTGGCCTTGGCTCTGTGTCCTCAGCTCAGGGAGTCTGCCAGCTTCCCCTCTGTAACCCCCTGCCCTCCCCCACTCTGGTCGGCACCCGGGGGGCTTGCTGGGCTTGTTTCCCATCCCTAAGGATTGAGGGGAGAAATCATTGTCTTTTGTTCCTTGGGGTCCATGGTCTTGAAAACCATTGATTCATGTTTCTTGGTTTTTGGTGTGTTTTTTTTTTTGTTGTTTGTTTTTTGAGACAGAATCTTGCTCTGTCACCTAGGCTGGAGTGCAGTAGTGAGATCTCAGCTCACTGCAGCCTCCACCTCCTGGGTTCAAGCAATTCTCCTGCCTCAGCCTCCCAAGTAGCTGGGATTACAGGTGCACACTACCATGCCCAGCTAATTTTTGCATTTTTAGTAGAGACGGGGTTTCACCATGTTGGCCAAGCTGGTCTCGAACTCCTGATCTCAAGTGATCTGCCTGCCTCAGCCTCCCAAAGTGCTGGGATTACAGGCATGAGCCACCATGCCCACCCTGTTTTTTTTTTTTTTTTTTTTTTTTCTGTTGATTCAGGCGGTGGTGTAAATCCAGTCCCTGTCACTTCATCTTGGCTAGAAGCAGTTCACTCATTGATTTCTAGTTTTTGATGGAGTGTAATCTATTACTATCGTATTAATAATTAATATCATTGATGTGCAGATTGTTCTGAATTTGGCTTCTGTACTGATGTACTGAGAATGTACTGATTCTTGGAGTACTCTCTGGGCTCATCCCCTCCTTTTGCTTCATCTCAGGGCTCAGCCCTGGCTCCTTCCAGTGGGAAATTATATTTAGAAGTCAGGACCTGGAGCTAGGGGAGAGCTTTGCTGGTGAGCTCTCGGCATGGCTAGGGAACACGTGTGTACGCCCACACATGTACGTGCACACATTTACATTTGTATTTCGTGAGTAGCTGCTTGTGTATGTACATACATGCATGTACACACGTGAGCCCATTCGAGTCCAGCACTGCAAGGGTGATACTGGTTTCCTCCCATCTGTGTTTGTAACTCCCTTTTTCACATGGAGGAGCTGGGTGCTGGTTCTCCTCTGTGTTTCTGATGGGAGTAATCCCTCTGTGAATGACCATCCTTCTGTCACTGCTGCTCCACTCCCAGCAGGTGGATGCCCGTTCCCGCACTTGCCTGGCACTGTGCCTGGCACAGACTTCCTCCTCACCTCACTTGATCTGCAATACCCTTGTGAGGGCATCCCTGTCTGGGGGATGCCTTTTGTGCCCTGCTTGGCCCCTTGTACCCTTATACCCTTATTCCCCTGTGCCAGCCCCAGAATCCTTCATCATCTCACTTGGGGCTCACATCTTGTTCTGTACTTCCCTCTTCTGCCACCTGGACGCCCTCCTCACTGCTGAGCTCTGGTACCTGGGGCGGCCTGCTGTGCTTGCCCCCCGTGGCCCTGATGCCCTGCCCCTGGCTGCTGCCTCTGTCGTGGAGCTAGAGCCTTCCCCTCTGGCGTGGCTCTTGGGTCCTGCATGTGTCCCCCCCACTGCTCATGGGTTTTCCTGTAGTGACTTTGTTTTCTTTTTTTTTTTTTTTTGAGATAGAGTCTCGCCCTGTTGCCCAGGCTGGAGTGCCAGTGGCATGATCTGGGCTCACTGTAACCTCCACCTCCCATTTTCAAACAATTCTCCTGCCTCAGCCTCCCGGGTAGCTGGGACTGTAGGTGCCCGCCACCATGCATGGCTGTTTTTCTATTTTTAGTAGAGACGGGGTTTCACTATTTGGCCATACTTGGACTTTGTTTTCTTTAAAGACCCTTAGCTTCACTGGCTCCACTGGTCCTCTTCAGAGTCACAGAGTTGTTTTTATCACGTCGTTTTATTTGCTCGCTGGGATGAGTGATAGGCTGGATCTTGCCAACCCATTTGCCCCAGAATTATGTGGAACTTCTCTTTACTCTCTCTGTCCTGCCTCGTGCTCTGTGAGCTTTCTTCTGGAGAGTTCCTGCAAATTGACTGAGCAGATCTGCTCTAGTGTCCCCTCGGGATGTGGCAGCCCCTGCCCGGTGTGAACAGCCTGGAGCCAGGACTCCTTCTTGGGTGGTGGTGGGGAGGAGTCCAGGTAAAGGGCTCCTGGTGGCCTTGTAAGGGGCAGAGAGTGGATGGCTCACCTGTGACGTGTGGATGGGGGCAGCCGGGTGCTGTGTGTCTCTTCTTGGCAGTCACGGGCTCTGGTCCCTCCTAGCCTTTGGTTTGCTCCAGGCATGGCGCTTTGGGGCTTCCAGCAGAGCGGTTCACCAGTGCTGTAAAATCTGTGCTTCAAGTCCCAGGAGCTGCCGTGCTATGTAAAATGTGCACTAGATAATTAAGTTACTGTCGGATATTTATTTGCAGAAAATTGAGTTTACCAGATGGTTTTAACCTCAGTTTTCAAAGTAAAAGATCTTTTCAGATTGTACAATATTTGTAATTTAAATCAGGACGTAGCAGGTTTTAAAATCAGGATACAAATGAGAAGTACTGCCTTTTTAACTTTCTATTTAGTTAATTAAAACAAAAGAGAGGCTAGATACAGAATTTAGGATTTAAGACTTTTTTTGGAGATGGAGTCTCGCTCTGTCGCCCAGACTGCAGTGCAGTGGTGCAATCTCAGCTCACTACAACCTCTACCTCCCCATTCAAGCAATTTCCCTGCCTCAGCCTCCTGAGTAGCTGGGACTACAGGTGCACACTGCCATGCCCTGCTAATCTTTCCATTTTTAGTAGAGACAGGGTTTCATCGTGTTGCCCAGGCTGGTCTTGAACTCCTGAGCTCAGGCAATCTGCCCACCTTGGCCTCCCAAAGTGCTAGGATTACAGGTGTGAGCCACCGTGCCCAGCCAGGATTTAAGATTTAACTCACTTGTGGATACTCTGATTGGCTTCTCTCTGCGTGTTATTCAAGAGTGACTTGAAAGTCCAGAGGAATTACGGCAGGACAGTGAGGAACTAGCAAAAGAGGAGGAAGTAACGATTTAGATGGTAGCTGTGAGTTACTGTTTGCAGATATTTTCAGTGCCTAACTTGGAAATGAATTAATTTTCTAAATCTAAATGGAGTTGGACTCTTCTGAGTAGATTTATGGAATAGAAGGGCAAGGATAAGGGATACCAGGCAAAGTGTTTTCCTGGTTCTTTATGGAAGAGAACCAAGCTGAAGGCCTTGGCATGTATGTGGGAAGGGCCCTTTCTCTGGCAGGCTCGTGCTTGGGCGTCTGCTTGAGAAGCAGGATTGATTTCTGGGGTGGCGCGGCTCCCTGCTGCCTGTCGGGGAGTAGAGCAACATTGCGGAAGCTGCGGGTCGCCTTCTGTCTGGGACCTCACAGCTGTAACTGCTTGCCTCTGACATGGCCTTCGCAGACTTCCGGTTGGGGTGGTTCCTGGGGGTACAGAGCTCAGAGGCTGTGTTAGAAGCTGGCGGGAGGCTGACCTGGGGTTCCCGTGGGGAGTCTGGGCTGTGCCATGACTCTTGCCATGAGACCAAGGTGCAGCCCACAGCAGGATGGCAGTCATGTAGTGCTTGGGTCCAGAGCCGGTGGCCACAGTGGACCTGAGTTTTAAAGCCCTAACTCGCCTAACAGACGGTATTGCTGTGGGCAGCTCACTCACCCCTCTGACTCTCAGTCTCTTCATCTGGATCATTGGGACACTCACATCCCTTGGGGTTGTGAGAAGTGGGGATCGTGCATGGCCGTGTGTGGCACTGAGTCCGACAGAGCACGCCTGCAGGCTTGGGCCACTGGGCTTTTTATTCCATTTAAGTCCTGAGCCCGTCCCGATGCTTCAAAACATCGCGGCCATTGCGGGCTGTTATGAGGCATATTTTGCTCTATAAACTAAAGGGCATTAGTTAACCTGCTTTCACAGTGACTTGTTTGTTTTTAGGATACTGAAGTGTATAAAGCTACAGTGAAAGATGACCTCACCAAGTGGCAGAATGTTCTGAAGGCTCATAGCTCTGTGGACTGGTTAATAGTGATAGTTGAAAATGATGCCAAGAAAAAAAATAAAACCAACATCCTTCCCCGAACCTCTATTGTGGACAAAATAAGAAATGATTTTTGTAATAAACAGAGTGACAGGTAAGTGTATCTTTAATTTTACCTCATTTGGTTAATACTTGACATGATATGGATTGCTGGCTTCCTGGGTAGTACTAACTATTTACTCAGCAATCTCGAGTGAGCGTCCATGAGGTGCTGTCAAGGAGACCTGGTGCCTGTCCTTGTGGAGTTCCTGTTGAGGCAGGCAAAGAACTCTAAGCAGCCATCTCCCGAGTGTGCTGCCTGGGAGAGCGGGTCTTGGACCCATGGTCCTGGGAGGCCTCTTGGTGGGTCCTTTCTGAAGACTGACAGCAGTAACTCTTGCAGTTCTTCTCTAGAACAGGGGTCCTTAAAGGTTTTTTTTTTTTTTTTTTTTTTTTGAAATGATGGCAGCTGTGTTCTTTTCTTTACCTTAACACCTACTGAGAAGTTCCTAAGAACGTTCCTAAGTTGTAAAATGCTGACCTAACCCCTGCAGAAACTGTGAAAGGGAATCCTGAAACTTTGGCGGTTAATAGATTTTATGGGCTTTCTCCGCCTTGCCCTGTTCTCTCTCCTGGGGTAGGTTGCTCCCTCTCTCTTCAGTGATGCCGTTGCCAGCTGAGCCAGTCAGCATGTTAACTCCTCTGTAACTGATGGTCTTTATCTCATAGTTTACACTAGAACTCACCAGGGCCTGGGGATTCAGCAGCGAACCTGGACCCTGCCCTGATCCAGCAGGTCGTTATAGCCATGGTCACCATGCTTATGGTGGCGAGGGTTCAGATGGAGGACTCCAGACTACTGCGAGAGCCTACAGCCTTCTCTGGGGCCAGCGGAGGCTCACTGAGAAAGCAGAGATGGGCTGAGAAATAAAGGATGTGCGGGGGTATGGGCTGAGAAATAAAGGATGCGCGGTGCAGGGGGTAAGGGAGGAGGAGCAGGGGCAGGTGGTGCGAGTGCAGCCTGTAGCCCCAAACAGACGGGCCCCGCACTGTTCTGTCATGTGACTCTCCAGGCCTCCGTGGTAGTTCTTCAGTGGGAGGAACTAGGGTGGGTGCCTTTTTCATGTTCCACACAATACTGGATACACAGTAATGTTCAGACTTGCTTTTTTAATGGTTTGAATTAAATAATTAGGTAGTTGAGCTTATGGTTTATCTTAGAGAAGTTTCATTCAATTTGGACTTATGGAAACTTCTTTGTAAGGTGTGTTACTTATAAATTAGTTAACCAAAAGGAATCAGCTTGGCATTTAAGAAGATGCTACGTGATTGAATGTCCGTGCCCTCTATGTGGTTCAAGTACTGACATCGTTTGTTCTGAGAAAGACAGTAGACAGCCATGAAGCCTGGCAGGAGGAGCAGTGTGTTCTGTAGCCTAACGGGAGTGTGGGCCATGCTGACGGGGAGACCACTGAGGCAGGGCTAGGAATCACAACCAAGTGGCCTTGGAGGTTTTTCTTAATATCACAAAAGAAATCATATTTATTTGGGATTATATTAAGTAAACACGTTGGTGTTAATGAGGTCTATTAGTCTTACCTTGTGAAATGTTCAAATTGTATAATTTTCTCAAAGTACCTATTGATTACTTTTAAGTCTGTGTTTATAATCTTTATCTAATTTCCAATAATATGTTTTTACTGAGCCTATTTAAAACTAACTTGCTTTTTAATGACTGTTTTTTGTACATTAAATGTAATTTACTAAAATTTTCAACATTTCGTCTTTAGTAGGTTTAAATGTACCTTCTACCATTTGGTTTTTATTAATTTGCAAAGCCACTTCTTAACAAATCTATTTTTTTTTTAATGTAAAGAGTTTGGTGAGATTTTCATAAATTTGAATTTAATAGAGTCTGTATTGACAATTGTTTTGTTGTTTTACTTTTTTTTTGACAATTGTTTTATTACCCAGTATAATTTCTGACCTTTGAAAATATTGTAACACTTGACCCTTAAGTGGCTTACTGTTTTTTTAACATTAGACTGGTGTTTAATTTTGATAATGCACACTACATGCTCATTGTAGAATTATTAGAAAAAGGTAATGAGCAAAAAGAAAATGCATATTAACTCTTAGCATTTTGGTATGTATCTTCTCAGACTTTTTTTCTTTATGCATGCATAATACGTGTGTGTATTTTAAGTTAATATAACGTTGTGTGTTGTTTATACTTGCTTTTTTCACTCAATATATGGTAAAGATTTTCCACAAACAATAAATGTATTTCCAGACTCTCGGTGTTAGTGAGTGGATAATATTCCGTAGTATTAATGTGCCATAAGTTATTTATACATTCTGCTGCTGGGCTTAGGTTATTGCTTGCTTATTGTTATAAACAGCAATATTGTGAACACCTTTTCTAGCTCAAATGTTGTGAACATCCTTAATTATTTCAGGATACCTTCCATAAAGGAAAATTGCTTGGTAACAGATTTTACGCATTTTTCGGGCTTTTGCTAAGTACGAGGCTGGTAGAGACAAGGGTTGACTTGTGATCAGCAGTGTGACTTGTGATGGCTGTAGCCATCGTGGTGACTTGCTGAGGCTGCAGCCGGGAGCCCCTTGTTCCACATGTGCCTCCAGCCCCTGCAGTCTGCGTGCCTTGGGGGATCGCGCCACTCTCCAACTTGGCCCCACCATCCCTGACGTCATTCGTTTTGGGCTCTCCTTTTCTGAGTTAACGACTTAGGCTTGATGTGAACTTCTGAAGCATAGTTCTTTTTTACTTAAAAAAAATGGATGGTGATGTAGAACAGGATCTACTAGAGACGGGACGTATCATGACTGTGTATCTGACTGATCTCTGGAAACGGTTACTGTTTTGGTGGTTGGTACTTGTTTAGTTTCTGTTTCCATTCACCCCATAGGTGCACAGGAGAATTCGCGTCGGGTCGGGAATAAATGTGGGTAATTATAATCCTTGAGAATGCCTGAAGGATAAACTACCAAGCTCATAGGTTCCAGCAAGCTCCTACTGTGGATAAATACACGTTAGTCCTCTGGGGGACCTTTGGAGGGAGCGGCTCTGGCCCCTTTGTCTTTGGGGGGGAAAGTGTGCAGGGGGGTGGGTTGAATGGATTTGTAGCCAGCCACCAAGTTTTAAGTTTTCTTCTTGGTGCTGGTTGTTCACATGGTGGAACACGTAGAGTGTGTGCTGCTTCACTGATGTATAATTCCATGAATGTTGCCATGCCTCCAAAGGATATGCTGGGGCACGGAGAAAAGGAACTTAGAGTCAGTTCATTTCGCTACTTTTTGGTAATTCAAGTAAAAGATTTACTAAGGAGGACTGGTGAAGCTCACAGAATCGATGTTTTGAAATTATTTCTGAGTTCAGATTTATGCATTATCTTCCTAGATATTACTATTACCAAAGCTAAAGAAATTTACCATTTCCAGGCCGGGCACGGTGGCTCAAGCCTGTAATCCCAGCACTTTGGGAGGCCGAGACGGGCGGATCACGAGGTCAGGAGATCGAGACTATCCTGGCTAATACGGTGAAACCCCGTCTCTACTAAAAAATACAAAAAAAAAACTAGCTGGGCGAGGTGGCGGGCGCCTGTAGTCCCAGCTACTCGGGAGGCTGAGGCAGGAGAATGGTGTGAACCCGGGAGGCGGAGCTTGCAGTGAGCTGAGATCCGGCCACTGCACTCCAGCCTGGGTGACAGAGCAAGGCTCCGTCTCAAAAAAAAAAAAAAAAATTTTTACCATTTCCAGCCTATCAAATACATTGCCTTGTCCAAGTCTGTTGGGAACTTTGTGTAATTTTGTGTGTTTGACCTTTTTACATCATGGGTTCAGCCTCTTTGTAATTAAACTCTTCTGGCCTATATGTTAAGCCATGTTCTAAGCCTTTATTTGTTAAATTGTTTATTAACCCTCCCCTTCGAGAGCTCACAGGCTAGTGGGAGGGATAGAGGTACAGAGAAGGGGAGTGTTTTCCTGTGAGGCCCGCAGCCTAGCAGCAGTGTGGGTAGAGCAGTTAGGATGGTGATGGGAGGAGGTTCGTGAAGATGTCACGCCTGGGTGGAAGGAATGTGCTCATGAAGAGAGGAGAGCGGGAGAAGGTCAGCAGGCTTGAGCTGGGAAGCAGAGGAAGTAAAGTGAGATATCATGGTGCTCGTGTGCCGTGCTGAGAAATCTAAATTTATCCTGTCGGTCCCAAGGAACCAAAATGGATTTTGAAGGAGGCAGGGAACTGAGTGAGGCGTGACCACATTATTTTACAGAGAGCTCAGAGCTGGGTCTTTGGCTCAGGGCTCATGTAAATCCCTTTCCCCCTTTCCAGTTGAGTCTATAGCAGACTCTCCTTTGAATTTCTGTAGAACTTACTGCTCATGTTCATGACCAGTTTATGATGAAGCCTTTTCCTAACCTGGTTTCTTACCGCCTGCCTCATGTTTTTGACTGTTTAAAGAAGGAAGAAGCCAGATGCGGTGGCTCATGCCTATAATCCCAGCACTTTGAGAGGCCGAGGCAGGAGGATTGTTTAAGCCCAGGAGTTCGAGACCAACCTGGGCAACATAGCAAGACCTCATCTTTACAAAAAAATATAAAAATTAGCCAGGCATGGTGGTGTGTGCCTGTGATCTCAGCTACTGGGGGGGATCACTGGAGTCCGGGAGGTGGACGTTGCAGTGAGCCAAGATTGTGCCACTGCACTCCAGCCTGGGCCACAGGGCAAAACTCTGTCTCAAAAAAAAAGAGGGAGGAGGACGGAACGAAATTGCCGCTCAGGACAATGGCAGCTGCTGAGCCGTGGCGCTGTGCATGGAGGGTCTTTCCCAGATAGTCTGTTCATGTCTTTGCAGGTGTGTTGTGCTCTCCGACCCCTTGAAGGACTCTTCTCGAACTCAGGAATCCTGGAATGCCTTCCTGACCAAACTCAGGACATTGCTTCTTATGTCTTTTACCAAAAACCTAGGCAAGTTTGAGGATGACATGAGAACCTTGAGGGAGAAGAGGACTGAGCCAGGCTGGAGCTTTTGTGAATATTTCATGGTTCAGGTACTTGACTCATTACAGAACTAGACAGTTCCCTTCTCTCCCTCCCTCCCTTGTGCCCTCCCTGTTTCCTCCTTTCTTTCTAAGTAAGGCACCTCTCGTGGTAATCTCATTGGCAGAGTTTTTAAAAACAAAAAACCTGGAATATCTTTAGGACTAGAAAGTCAGGAAGTGCGTGGAAGCAGATGGGGCATGAATAGGACACGCACTGCCCCGTGGAGCATCCGGGGGTCAAAGCTGGAGCAGTTTCAGCAACAGAATAAATAAGGATAGAGTCAGGGTTTAACCTATGGAATAAAATTAATATCCTTGAGTCTGTATCGATAGAAGAAATCATCGGTTAAATAAACAAATGGAGGAGAAGGGTCAGCTCTTCCATACAGAAGAATTCTGCTTAAATGCAGAAGGAAAGAAAAACAGAAAATCACTTTTAAGCCAATGTCCCAGCGAGAACTGTTGGAGGCAGGATTAACGATGGATGTCCAGGGTGGTGGGCAAAGGCCTGAGAAGAGGTGGGCTTGCACAGTCTCACGGTGGCCCCCCAAGATGTCTGTCAGCTACCGAGGGAGCAGTAGCCACTCCACAGTGGGGGAACCAGGTACATACCGCCTGAAGGAGATGATAAGGCTGCTTCCGTCCGTGAGAAGTTGTGTCCGTCTCATGAAATCCTTGGTAAGATGTGCTGAGGAATACTTAGCATCTTTTCTCTGTAAAAAATGATCATCTCACGGCAGTCATTAAACATATCAAATGAACTCAAGTAGAGGGACATTAGACAGCGTAGCACTCTTCGAGGGTGCCACGGCAGTGAAAGACAGACTGAGAAACTGACAGACTGCAGGAGCTGAAGGAAGCAGCAACTCCGGCCTAGTTGGGGGTCAAGGGTGGGGTCTTGGAGCAGAAACAACTACATCAGTGGAAAAACCACTGAAATTCCAATGAGGGCTATTTAGTTAATAGTATTATACTTAGGTTAATTTTCTGGTTGTGACAGTTGTACCACGGTCATGTAAGACGGCAGTGTTCAGGAAGCTGAGTGAGGGCTAGATGGAAACTAGATCCTTTTTTTTTTTTTCCTCAGTATTTCTGTAAGTCTAAGTTCAGAATTTAAAATGAGGAAGGAAGGAAATTCTGACACACACACTGCAACATGGATGGACCTAGAGGACACGATGCTGAGTGAAATAAGGCACAGAGACACATAGGGACAGATGTGTCTGCTTCTGTGAGGTCCTCGAGTGCTCAGGTTCAGAGGCAAGGTGGAATGGGGGGTGCTGGGGCTGGCGGAGGGAGAGTGGGGTGAGTGTTTAATAGGACAGAGGTTCCGTTTGGGAAGGTGAGAAAGTTTGGGATATTGATTGCACAACGGCGTGAGTGCATTTAACACTACTGAGCTGTACTCGTCTCTCTCTCTCTCTTTTTTTTTTATGATGGAGTCTTGCTCTGTCACCAAGGGCTGGCGTGTAATAGCACGATCTCAGCTCACTGCAACCTCCACCTCCCAGGTTTAAGCGATTCTCCTGCCTCAGCCTCCTGAGTAGCTGGGATTCCAGGTCTGCGCCACCATGTCCAGCAAATTTTTGTATTTTTAGTAGAGATGGGGTTTTGCCATATTGCCCAGGCTGGTCTCAAACTCCTGGCCTCAAGTGATCCGCCCACCTCGGCCTTCCAAACTGCTGGAATTACAAGTGTGAGCCACTGCGCCTGGCCTGAGCTGTACTCTTAAAAATGGTTAAGATGGTCAGTTTTATATTACATACATTTTAATCACAATTTAAAAGAAAAACATTAGAGTGCTCAGTCTTGAAAATACTTCACAAAGAAAATGAAGTTCAGTGTAACTTTGCAGTTTCTCTTGCAAAACACAGCCCACCACTGTTTTCAGGGGAAACAGGATACAAAGGAGCACTCTCAGTTCTCACCTAGTGAGTGGGACCTGGGTGGGCCCTTTGGGGTCTGGGAATAATGTCCACAAATACATGGGGTGGAACTGAATTCCCAAGACTTGACCATGTGGGGAGGTTTATGTGCGTGCACATTCTTCTGGTCTTTACTTTTTAATGTACAGTAATGGAGATCGGAAAGCAATCACCTGTCGCCGTCTCTTTTCATTTTCTCATTCGATAAAGGTTACTGAGCACGAACAGGGCCAGGCCCTCCTTGATGCTGGGATGCCGTCACTATACGGTTCTTGTGAGCTTGTGTGACAGTGGAGGAGACACAGGAAAGGAAATGACGCAGATGCTAGGGCGAGAGAGAGACACGAGGCAGAGATGGTGTGGGGCGCTGCGCAGAGGCAGGAGGAGGAAAGGCCTCACTGGGCTGGGGACTTAGCCAGAGCTGGAGGAGGTTGGAGAGCAAGCCATGTGGATGTTTAGAGGAAGAGAAAGTGTTCCAGGCCACGGAATGGGCAGTGCACAGGCCCCGAGGCAGCTCCCTGCCGTGCACACGTGAGCAGCAGTGAGGAGGCCTTGGTGGAGCTGAGGCCAAAGGGGTGGTGCTGGGGGACATCGATTTTGCAGGGCCTGGAGATGCCTTGGAAGGACTTAGGAGTCTCTTGAATGTGACGAGCAGTCGCTGACTGAAATGGGGAAGACGGTAGGTGGAGCACTTTGTGGGAAAGGTTTGGGGTTCAGGTTTCCATGTGTAAGCCTGAGCTGTCTGTTAGGTGTCCATGCAAGCGTGCTGTGCTTGCCATTGGAGCCAGAGTCGGGTCTGAGCTGGAGTCCTAAATGTGTGTGGTTTTGCTGTGTAGATAGGCTCAATCTCGGAGAGGGAATAGTGAGTGTAGACAGGGAAGTCCAAGGGCTGAGCCCTGGGGCCTCCAGCAGAGATCCTGGGGGAACGAGAGGAACCAGCCGTCTGACCAGAGGGAGCCAGAGTGAGGGATGAGGGGAGCAGGTGGCTGGGTCCTGGACAGCAGGAAACATCCCAAGGACAAGGGGTGGCCAGTTATATCCGGTGCTGCCGATAGGTCAGGGAGGGTTCAGGAGTGACCTTGGCCTTTTCTAGCTTCCCGTGCATGTGTGAGTGTTGACGCGTGTGGTCCTCACACTGGTTTTTACTCAGCGGAGTGTAGGCGTTATTCATAGTGCTGCATGCCTTTCTCTGTTGTAATTTTTAATGGTGCATACTGTTTTTTCAATATGTTGATTTATGTTTTTGTTTTTTTAAAAACGTATCTTGGGCGAATAGGAGGAGCTTGCCTTTGTTTTCGAGATGCTGCAGCAGTTCGAGGACGCCCTGGTGCAGTACGACGAGCTGGACGCCCTCTTCTCTCAGTATGTGGTCAACTTCGGGGCCGGGGGTGAGTAGTGGCACTTCAGTAACGCATGCTTTTCTTAGTGTGGCTTTCTCCACTTGCAGATGGTCTTGAAGCAGCCATTTATTTACCTCATGAGTAGGCATGTTTTGCTGTTCTCTTTATACACATTGTATCAGATATATTCTCATGATTCCTAGAGGAAATGAAATGAGAATTAAGAATTAGTCATTTTCACTTTTAGAAGAATCTTAAGTAACAAAAGTAATAAAAACAAACAAACTGTTTTCCAAGTATAAAATGTTCTTTCCACAGCTCAGTGGCCTGCTGGCGATGCTTCGATTCTGTCCGTCGTTAGAGTCAGAGTGGACGTCCCTTTCCCTTCTATCTGGGGGTTGTCTTTGGAATGCTCGAGTGCTCGTTGCTGTGAGCTTATGTAACACCCTTGGGTGTTCATCTTTCTTTTGCACTTTTAAACAATATCTTAAGCTCTTTTACAATTAAAGAATTAGCATAGTGAAACCATACACAAAGAGAAACATTGGTTACTGTCCTCAGTGTTTTTCGCTGATGCTTGTTTTGATGAAAGTAATATCATGTTACGTAGCTGTTTCTCTGTGCTCCTTTTTCTTACTCACAGCCCGTCGTGGGCGTCTCTCTAGGTTAACAGGTGGGGTTTGGAGTCTCCAGGTTAACAGGTGGGGTTTGGAGCTGTTTTTTTAGAGTTGGTATATTCCTGGCTTGATTCTACTCCCTGGTGTTGGACATTGGGTTCTTTCCTGCTTCTTGCCACCACAAGCAGGGCTGTCGTGGGCATCTTTGCCAGGTTCCTTTTTGAGAACCCTTGTCACCATGTGTGAAGGAAGGAGTAATTTCAAGGAGCCCCGGTGTCAGCTGGAGAACCTGGAGGGAGGTGAAGTGTGGGGATGGTCAGCTCTAGCTGTGGGCACTGTCCTCACTCTGGAAATCAACAGTGGCGCCAATGGCTAATGGCTCATAGTGAAGATCGGGTCTGATCTCAGTCTCCTGAGATGCCAGCGTAGACATAGAACCAAAGCAAAGTGTTTACTCAGTAAAAAAAAACAGAAGAGGTAAAACTCTATTTCTTATATTTTATGCAGGTGTGAGCCACCATGCCCGGTCTTAGGTGTCCATATTATACATATATATCCATTATTTAGTTTTGAGACTGTCTCACTCTGTCCCCAGGCTGGAGGGCAGTGGTGCAATCTTTGCCCACTGCAACCTCTGCCTCCCGGGTTCAAGCGATTTTCGTGCCTCAGCCTCCTGAGTAGCTGGGATTACAGGCACACACCACCATGCCTGGCTAATTTTTATATTTTTAGTAGAAATGGAGTTTCACCGTGTTGGCCAGGCCAGTCTCGAACTCCTGGCCTCAAGTGATCCTCTTGCTTCGGCCTCCCAAAGTGCTGGGATTACAGTTGTGAGCCACCATGTCCAGTCTACATACATACATACATACCTACCTACACACACACACACACACACACACACACACACACACACACACTTTTTTTTTTTTTTTTTTTTTTTAAAGATGGAGTCTCACTTTTTTGCCAGGCTGGGGTGCAGTGGTGTGTCTCGGGTTACTTGCAACATCCCCCTCCTGGGTTCAGGCGATTCTCTTGCCTCAGCCTCCCGAGTAGCTGGGACTACAGGCATGCACCACCATGCCCAGCTAATTTTTTTATTTTTAGTAGAGACAGGGTGTCACCATGTTGGCCAGGATGGTATCGATCTCCTTATCTCATGATTCGCCTGCCTCGGCCTCCCAAAGTGCTGGGATTACAGGTGTGAACCATCGCACCCGGCCTATATTTTTTAAATATCTTACATGTTTTTTTTTGAAAAATAGATGTATTTAGCAAAAAATGTTTGAATTTAATAAAGAAATGGCAATAACTGGTACATCCATTAGTTGAAAAAATTAAAATATTTTCACTGAGCACCAAATAGTTCTCAGTCTTTTCGTGGAGAACTCCTTTGAAAGAATGCCTAGAACTTAATCTGTTTATTTAGGTTTTTAATCAAGAAATCTAAAACTGCCAATCACAGTTTCAAATTACCATGAGATGACCATGTTAACAACCTTGAGGTCATATCATATGAGCTTGTAAAAGCTGTGTTGAAGCTATACATTCTAACTGAGGGCATTTGTTAGCCTCAGGCAGGCTGGTGATCACAGGTCCATGTGCCTGTGATGCCATATACACGACACTGAGTAATAAGGTGTCATTTATAAGATAAAGACCATATGGTCCCTGGCAGCAGAATAGGTGCTGGGCAGCTTCAGGGACCAGGCATCTGAATGGATGTCAGTGCCTGTGGGAGGGGAGCGGCCTTCAAGGCTGAAATATCTGACATACTTCTTATATTTCACCTAATTTATTTATTTTTTCTCTCAGTTTTAAAAGTTGGGGCAATTTAAAATCCAAAAGTAAGCCTGGATGAAGTTTTGCTGCTGAATCAGACAGTTCGTTTTTGTTCTTTCATTCAACAAGTACTTACTGAGGGACCACCATGTGCCAGGCACTGTTCTAAATACAGGGAGGAATAAAACAAAATCCCTTTTTTTAATGGTGCTTACATGAAGGGGAAACAGGCAGAAAAGTAAATCTGTCACTTGCCGTCCGTAGTAGTAAGTTTGGGCTGTAGAAAGGGGCTCCCGTGAGGGGTGGGGCAGTATGTGCCGTTGGAGCTTGGATAGGGCACTGGAGTGGCCTCTCTTGGGGGGGGGGGTGGCACTGGCACCAGAGGCCTGACTGAAATGTGGGAGTGCCCCATGAGAATCCTGGTGGGAGGGGAGCCTAACCAAGGGAACTGCTGGTGCAAGCCTGGGCTGGCGGGTCCGCACCACACTGCCGTGTGCTCCAGCAGCTCTGAGGATGCTGCCTGGTGCAGGGGCAGGCCCAGTCAGCACCACACTGCCGTGTGCTCTCAATAGCCCTGAGGATGCTGGTGCAGGGGCTGGTAGATCCGCACCACACTGCTGTGTGCTCAATAGCCCTGAGGATGCTGAACTGCAGGGGCTGGGGCGGGTCCGCACCACTGCCGTGTGCTCTGGCAGCTCCACGAGGATGCTGGTGCAGGGGCTGGGCTGCAGGCGGGTCCACACCACACTGCCGTGTGCTCAGCAGCTCTGAGGATGCTGGTGCAGGGGCAGCGGTAGTCCGCACCACACTGCCGTGTGCTCAGCAGCTCTGAGGATGCTGGTGCAGGGGCCGAGGCAGGTCCACACCACACTGCCGTGTGCTCCAGCAGCTCTGGGGATGCTGGTGCAGGGGCGGGCGGAGTCCGCACCACACTGCCGTGTGCTCCTGAGGCTCTGAGGGAGAAGCTCCGTCAGTGAAGGGAGCTTCAGTTCCTACACACAATTGTGCAGCATTTAACCATGTCAGGATGGCTGGTTATGACACCTCTCTGTTGGAGTGAAAAATAGATTCAAGGTTTTTTCAATAATGATTGATGGACTTGTTATTATACATCGTTACGCTTATTTTAAGATCATATTTGAGTCTTTGGGGTATAAGTAAACCTCTGGGAGCCTTGCTGAAATTTGTGACAAGCAGTCATTCTTTTTTTTTCTTCTGGTGCAGGGGCCGGGGCGGGTCCGCACCACACTGCCGTGTGCTCCTGGGCTCTGAGGAGAAGCTCCCGTCAGTGAAGGGAGCTTCAGTTCCTGCACACAATTGTGCAGCATTTAACCATGTCAGGATGACTGGTTATGACACCTCTCTGTTGGAGTGAGAAAAATAGATTCAAAGGTTTTTTCAATAATGATTGATGGACTTGTTATTATACATCGTTACGCTTATTTTAAGATCATATTTGAGTCTTTGGGGTATAAGTAAACCTCTGGGAGCCTTGCTGAAATTTGTGACAAGCAGTCATTCTTTTTTCTTCTGTGCGCTGCTACCAAGTCCTCCCTGTCCCTTCCTCTAGGAGCTTGACTCAGGGAGGTGACGTGGTTGAGTTAGGGAAATAAGGAAGGAATATGTAGTCTAAGGAAGACCAAAAGCCACCAGGATGGTCAGAGCAGGCAGCACTCCAGCCCGCAGGTAAAGATAAGGAAGCCCAGCCCCGCTGCAGCCCAAGACTAGAGCCCTCCCTCGGTCTGAGACAGAGCCTGTGCTCCCCTAACCATGTAGCCTGTTGGTCTCTGGGCAGCTTCCCGACCTGTTCAGCTCCCGCCTATGGCTTTCTGGGCATGGTAGGGTGGCGTGCCTTGTTGCTTGGGTCACGTTACCCTCATCTCGGCTGTCAGTGCCGGGAGCCGAATGGTGCACATCACTAGACCACAGTGGGTGGGCAGTGTTCTTAGAACAACTGGTTCTGAAGCTGCCTGTTTGCTCACCATCCTCAGCCTGAGCAGGAAGCTCAGGAAGGTGAAGTACCTGCAATCAGCACCTTTCATGATGTGTGTTTGTTTAGATGGTGCCAACTGGCTGACTTTTTTCTGCCAGCCAGTGAAGAGCTGGAACGGATTGATCCTCCGAAAGCCCATAGATATGGAGAAGCGGGAATCGATCCAGAGGCGAGAAGCCACGCTGTTAGATCTGCGCAGTTACCTGTTCTCTCGCCAGTGCACCTTGCTGCTCTTCCTGCAGAGGCCGTGGGAGGTGGCCCAGCGTGCCCTGGAGCTGCTGCACAACTGTGTGCAGGAACTGAAGCTCCTAGAAGTGAGTTGGCTCTTTTCCCAATTTACCCGTTTCTTGATTGTTCCAGGAGAAATCTCTGAACCTTGAGGTTCCAGGCATTGAACTGTTTGTGCTTAAGAAAGAGTTTTCTTTTCTGAATGTCTTTTATTTTCAATATATTATTTGCTTAGTTACTTTTTACATTGATTAATTGCTCAAAAATAGAACTCTGTTCTCAACATGGTGAAGTTTGTGCCGGTCCAGAGCAAGCCTCTTAGATGAGCTCAGTGGAGCTCACTGGCTGACTGCGGCCTGCGCTACTGCGTGAGCCGTCTCCACGGGGAAGCGTCACTCACCGGAGGGACCCGCAGAGCTAGGTTTTGCAGGTAGACATTTATTTCATCTCAGACATTTATTTCATGTAGACATTTATGTTATTTTTCTTTTCAGATAAATAGTTTTGCACATGGCCATGCAGGTAGCAATGTGAGTGACACACAGCAGGCTGTGCCCCATTGATTAGTAGTACGAAGCTTCGTGGAAGATATGTCATAAATTGTGTGTGTGTGTGCGCGGGCGCACGCTCACTTATTGGGTGTGTAAATGTAGTTAGTAAAGCATTTGCCTTTAGAGACAAATTCACCCGAGCACTAAACTGTTACTGCCTGTAGAACCGTGGACATTCTAGTGAGGTGGAAGGACTGTAGAGACCGTATCTAGTCTGGTGATTCTTGTTTCAGGGTCCTCTTTATCCAGAATAATTCACACACACAAACAAAATGATACTTACGACTTGAGGATTCGTGTACGTCCCTGCCACCCATCCCCTGGTTAAGATCTCCTGAGTGAGTGGTCTGATGCTGTTTTGTAAACAAGAAAACAGAGTCTGGAAGTGATTACGTCTGAAGAGTATAAGCCATTGATGGGGATGGTGTTTCATAATATAGGAACTTATTTTTGTGTGCTTGGTTTGAAATAATTTTAAGAGATTTAAATTTAATTAATGAAGATAAATGTATTTTTAGTTAATTTCAAAAGGAGAAATTCTTATTTCAGAGCCCAGCTCATTAGTACCTAGCCCAAGTCACAAACTCAGAAACTTAGGAATTTTTATCAAATGATTTTTCTTCGCCTAATGAAGCAAATGCGGAAAGGCAACATTTTCCACCTCGAAATGGCACTCTGGGCTGCCTGTAATCCCCTGGATGGAGAGACTGCTTGGGCTGCTCAGCTCTAACTGCAGGCTGGGGGCGGGGCTGTGGGGGACCATGCACTCCTGGAGCCGGGCGCTCTGTTCACGTGTGCCTCGGGCTTTCACCTGATGTTGAGATTTTTGTCTTACTAGCCGATTGGGGAAAAAATTGAAGTATTCAAGTCCAGATGATTCAGACATGACGTCTTCTGAGTGAGACGACCCCAGGAGGGCTGACTGGAAAGAGCTGTTGCCCATTTTGGGACAGATGTAGAAAACCTCAGAGGATGGCACAGACCCAGTCCCTTTATTGCTGGTCTCCGCCAATTCATGAACACCAGGATTTAAGAATCTCAAGTTGTTTTTCCAGCTTCAGAAGGTTACCTGGGAATAGCATGACTACCAACCTGTAGAGGGAGGAGAAAAATCCCCACAGCCAGGTGGGGCCAGTGCAGAGCAGGCTGACCTGGGGTGGGGTGGGGGGAGACTGTGCCCTGCAACTGAGGAGGCCACTGGCCCAAAGCAGCTCCACCAGGAGGGAAGCGGGCACCTCCACCCCCCTGCCCTTCCCTCTGAACTCCTCCGGGCACTCTGGAAGCTAGAGGCCAGGGAGCCCACTGATGTGTTACATATAGCTCCCCCAACAGAGAACAGGGCGGCAGGGTGTGGAAAGTGGATCTGAGAGGCCAAGCAGAGAGGTCCGGTACTGCATGGAGATGGCATTCCCTTTTCCTCTTCTGGTGCTGCTCACTAGTGTGCTTGCCCCACCACGGCTGCCCTCCTGTGGGCGTGCGCAGGTGCCATGGAGGCCTGGAGGAGCAGCGGCATAGTGTGTAGCGCTGCACTCACTCCCCGCAGAGTTGCATGCTCACCTCCTCCTGTGGGTTGTCCTCCTGTGGAGCAGGTTGTCAGGGACTTCCTAGCGGTTCTCCTGGGTTCTGGAATGCCTATGGCCCTTGTGGAAGGAGGTTGAAGTAGGTCTGTTATTACCTTGTGGCTGGAAGGAGAAATGTGTAAGTAATAGAGGGTGTGGGTTCTGGAGTTCCTTGGAGCGTCGGGGTTCGCAGGAGCCACACGGGGTCTGTTGGCTCCTCTGGGCGCTCGTCTGCAGGGCCGGGAAGTCACTGAGGTATTTTCAAGGCTTTGTATTGTGTGAGGAGCCTCTTATCCATGGTGTATTTTCTGAGCCCTTTGCTTTACTGAATGAAGTTGTTGTCTCCTTGGCCTTTCCTTGAGTGGAAGCTGCCCCCATTGCTTTTAGTCATAGCTATTGCACTTCTTTGCGATGTTGAGTTCTGTGTCTCCAGTGAGAGGAGGTGGCCAAAACTGAATGCTGGATTTGAGGCAAGGACATGCCACCCACTGATGACTTTCTCACAGTCTCTCAGTCTCTTTCCTTCTAAGAACCCACTTCCTGTTTCCTCACCTCCTTCTGATGCACACAACTGGCTGCGCCTCCTTACATGCGCTGTGCCTGTCAGACTCCCAGGCCAGAGAGGACAGCCTCCCTTGTCACTTGTGTTGAAGCGCATGCAGTCCTTTTTGCACACTTTGCTCCTGAGTTTGATCAAAACTGAGATTCACACTGTTTACTTAGAGGGCTTCGCCAGTAGCTTCACATCAGAAGTGTTTCTCTTCCTCTCCCTTTTTCTTTTCTTTCTTTTTTTTTTTTTTTTTTTTTGAGATGGAGTCTCACTCTGTTGCCCAGGCTGGAGTGCAGTGGCGCGATCTCGGCTCACTGCAGACTCTGCCTCCCAGGTTCACGCTATTCTCCTGCCTCAGCCTCCTAAGTAGCTGGGACTACAGGTGCCCACCACTGCGCCTGGCTAATTTTTTGTATTTTTTTTTTTTTAGTAGAGACAGGGTTTCACCGTGTTAGCCAGGATGGTCTTCGTCTCCTGACCTCGTGATCCGCCTGTGTCGGCCTCCCAGAGTGCTGGGATTATGGGCATGAGCTACTGTGCCCAGCCTTCTCTCCCTTTTTCTAAATTTTTGAATTTTTTGGTAGAGATGAGTCTCACCATGTTGCCCAGGCTGGTCTGGAGCTCCTGGGCTCAAGTGATCCTCCCTGCTCACCTCCCAAAGTGCTGGGATTACAGGTCTGAACCGCCCCTGGCTGTGGTTTTCTCTCTCGTGCAGTAGTTTTTATTCCAGTCTAGTTGTTAGGATTTTTTGGTGAGAGTTGGGTTTTAGGGCCACAGTTGAGCAGAGGCCAGGGGGTAGGTGCACCACGGTCAGCTGCAGATCCCACGTCCCAGTTTTGAGTGGGTGGCTTATAAAACATGTCCTGCTAACATCCTGCTTGCTTTATCAGTTGATTTGAAGTACCTCATTTATTTAAAGAGAACAGGGGGCACCGAAGTGGTCAGCTGTGATGGAAACCAGCACTGCCTTTGTAGTAGGGCTCGATCCACATTCCAGGGTGGACGGGGGCTGAGAAAGAGAGCAAGATGGCCAGATAGAGGCCTCTACACTGTGGGTGCCGCTTACTAGCCTTGGCCCACTCCCGTTATGGAAAACGTGTTAAGAATGGAGATTGTGCCTACCTGCTGGGGTGAGCGGTAACACCCGTGAAGTGAGGCCAGTTGCGCATGAGTTCAGGATCCTCCTTCACAGAATATTTCCTCTCTTTTTTCTGTAGCAATTTCTAATTTTCCCTCCATTTACAAAAGTTGAATGTTTTCTCTGTGTAAATTTGGAAAATACAGACAAATACACAGAAGAAAATGTCGTTGCATTTGCTAGCGGGAAGAGGTTCCCTTTTTTTTGTGTCCGTGGCCTTCTTATGTATAGATGAACTGCAATGATTTCCTTGCTCCTATTTGGGCATTTGAATTCTTCAAAATTCTTTGCAATTGCAGTAGTTTGTATCCTTATACGTACATCTTTGTGTGTAAATTCATACAAGTAGAATTGGAAGGTCGAAGATAGACATGGTTTTAAAGCTGTTAATATATGTTGTCAGTTCGTCCACCAGAAAGGTCTTCCCATTTTCAGTCATGCTGGTGATGCCTGTTTTCCTGCACCTTTGGTAAGAAAAAAGTATGATACGTATACATTTTGTTGCCAAATTAGAAGAATGAGGAAGATACTTTCTAGAACGCCATAATGTGTTTGTTACAGTGATTGCCCAAGTGATTTTTTAGGGGGTTTGGAATGTGTTTCATTCAGCACTATTTGACCTTTTATCAGCGTAGAATCTGGTTCGGTAACTGTGTAGGCCTAGCAGGGTCAGGACTCCTCCTGACCCCAGGAAAGTCACCCAGCCTAGCCTGTGGCATGGAGGAACCGCGCATGGGACGCCATCAGAGTTAGCTGGCCGGTTTGTGAACAGAGGCTGTGTGTGGCCAACCTGCAGGTTGAACCAGAGGAAGAAGGTTTACAGTCAAAGCTGGCCGGTTGGGATCGGTATTCTGAGGTGCAGGCCTGGCACAGGACAAAGGCAGAGATGTAGTGGAGGGATGTAGGTTGTGTTTACTGAGGGCTTACAGTGTACCTGACACCCTGCTGGGTGGGTGCTTTCATGGGGAGGTGGAGGATCTTGTGTGCCCCTGAGCCATGAGGACCTGAGCTGGAGGAGGAGGGGTGGTTGTGAGAGCTGTTGCCGAAGAACTGATGGCTCCGTGGACAAAAGGAAAGAGAGGACTGTCAAGAATCATTCAAGACACATTTCCTTGCCTGCCAGGCACTGTGGGAGACAGGGATAGATAGGGGGTGCGCATAAATGAAGAGGAAAGGGCCTCACCTACCGGCATGAGGCCGCCACGGGTCATCAGCACAGTGTCCAAGTAGTGACGAAGTGTTGTGTGTGCACAGGGGACCGTAAGGGAGGGAAAGGCAGCTTTGCCGG